CCATTTATTATACCATGGTAATTAGAGCAAGATCTGGCCATCTGGCTGCTAGGTGTGTTCACTGCTACTAGAGTGTCACATATGCAGGTTCAAGTTTATATCTGTAACTATCTATCTGTATCTAAATTAGGCTAAGTATGAGTTCACACTGATATCTCTTTTTTTGTTTATTTTTTTATTTTTTTATTTGACAGATAGAGTTAGACAGTGACAGAGAGAGACAGAGAGAAAGGTCTTCCTTCCGTTGGTTCACCCCCCAAATGGCTGCTACAGCCGGAGCTACGCCGATCTGAAGCCAGGAGCCAGGTGCTTCCTCCTGGTCTCCCATGTGGGCGCAGGCACCCAAGCACTTGGGCCTCCTCCACTGCCTTCCCTGGGCCACAGTAGAGAGCTGGACTGGAAGAGGAGCAAATGGAACTGGAACCCGGCACCCATGTGGGATGCCGGCGCCACAGGCGGAGGATTAACCAAGTGAGCCATGGCGCCGGCCCCCAAACTGATATCTCTGACTCTAATTCAGTTATTTCTAAGCTTTCCCCACTTCTCTGTAGCTTCTATCTTCTCTATTCCTAGCTTGCTGGAAGTTTCTTTGCTTGTTTATTATGAATGGATAATGGATTTTATCAAAGGCTTTCTCCAAGCAACTAATACGGTCACATTGCCTTTCTTTTTAAGCATAATTATATAGTATGTTAATTATAGTGTAGATTATGTTTTATAATGAATTTTATTTTTATATGACAAATAATTATATATATTTATGGGTACACTGTGATGCTTTACAATAGAAAGATTAAATAAGGTCAATTGCTTCATTTGTCATTTCTTTCTGGTGAAAGTGTTTAAAATCTACTCTTATAGTAATTTTTAAAAATTTTTAAATATTGAATCAGGCTTGCATACCTGGAATAAATCCCACTTTGTCATGAAGTATAGTTCTTTTTTGTACCCTGCTAACTTTGGTATGGCAGTATACTTTTTAGGTTTTTAAGATGTATATTGACAAATTGTAGTTGTATGTATTTATGGGATATGAATTGGTGTCATGATTTATGAATGCAATGTGGAACAATTAGATCAAGCTAATTACCATATTCACAATCTCATACACATAACTTTTGTGATAAGAATATTTGAAATTTACTCTCTTAGAGATTTAGAAATGTAAATATACTAATATTTACTGTACTATATGACACTGTAAGATGTGTCCTTAGGCCATCATCTCCCCTGTTGCACAGGCAACAAAAGCAAAATTAGACAAGTGAGATTACATCAAACTAAAAAGCTCTGCACAGCAAAGGAAATAATCAGAAACTGAAGAGAAGAGCCTATCAAATGGGAAAAATATTGAACATATACATTGATAATGATTTAATATCCAAAATAAATAAATAACTTGAACTTCTGAACCATAAGAAAATAAACAACCACAAACAACAACAACAAATGGACATTTCCTAAAAGAAGGCACACACATGAAAGATAAAGGTGTGGAGAAAGGAAATCCTTGTGTTGTGGGCTAGATTTGATCCAGGTTCTTGTGTCCATGTGAGAAACCTTCAAGGAAGAGATGTAGGTAGAGGTGAAAAGAGAAGTAAGATTTATTTAAAGCAAAAGTATACACTTAAAAATAAGTGCAGAGGAATGAACCAACAAAGGTAGATTTCTGTCTTTCTTTTCATCTTTCTTTAAAATGAAAATAAATCAATATACACCTGTTAAAAGTTAGACAAATTTGAAACAGAAATATCATTTGATCTGGCAATCCCACTACTGAGTATGTATCTAAAGGATGTGATATCAGCATATTAAAGAGATATGTGCATTCTATGTCCATTGCTGCATTATTTGTAACAGCTGAGATATAGAATGAACTTAACTGGTCGCCAATGGATGAATCAACAAAGAAAACATAGGATGTATACACAATGGAATAGTATTTGTTCTTAAAAAAATGGGGAAATCCTGTGATTTGCAACACCGTGGGTGAGCCTATGCAACAACATGGATGAGCCAGGCAAAACAGGCCATGCATAGAAAGACAAATACTATATGGCCTAATCTATATGTAAAAACCAAAAAGGCTGAACTCATTAAAAACTGAGAGTAGGATGGTGGTTATCAGCTAGTGAGGAGTGTGACTGGGGAGATATTGTTCCAAAGACATACACTTTAAATTTGAAGCAGCATATATTCTAGAGGTCTACTGCACATCATGACAACTGTACTTAATACTAAGAGAGTAGATCTGAGTGCCCTTACTGCCGAAAATTCTGATGTGAGCTAATGCATATGATGTTAAGCTGATTTAGTCCACAATGTATACATAGTTCAATAATTCATTTTGTACAGCATAAAATATACAATTATATTTGTCAATAAAGCAATTTAAGAGTAATAAATAAATAGAGAAATAAACAGGGTATGTGAAGCAGTTGGGATATTGCAAGAATATCAACACATGCATAATAGGAGTTGAAGGAGAAGAAAGAAAGAGGCAGAAAGAATATTCAAAGAAATAATGGCCCAAAATATTTTGATATAAATATGGATTCAAAAATTTTGACACAGTGATACTCAAAATACTAGAAAAATATGAATTGAAAATTTGCATAATTTATACAAAAATTTATTATTATTTATTACTTGTTAATATATTAAAATTGAGTGCTATATTTTTAAGTGAATTAAAATATGCCTTTATCATACTTTTCTTCCCTCTGTATTATCATATATTTTCTCTAAAAATTACCATATAAACATATTTTTAGGTAGTGATTTATTAATATAGAAATTTAGCTTACAAAATATGAGCCTATAAAGGGATTTAGTGTCATTGCACAAGAACAAACAAAAAAGCAATAATGAATCATCACTTACAATCTTTTGAACTATTTTCTTAAAAGTCAATTTTTTTTAAATATAAAAAGTATAACATATAATATTTAAAAAAAAGTATGTATAAATTGTACAACAACAGTCAGGACAAGGGCTGATCAAGTCACTGTTTCTCATAGTGTCCCTTTCATTTCAACAGGTTTCCTTTTTTGTGGTTGGTTAGTTGTCACCGATCAGGGAGAACATATGATATTTGTCCCTTTGGGACTGGCTTAATTCACTCAGCATGATGTTTTCCAGATTCCTCCATTTTGTTGATGTACAATTTAATACTTTATCCCTTTTAGTATTTTTTTTTGTTCTAGTTAATACTATTGGTTGAATTCTGTAATCAACACACATTTATTCTTAGGTGTTGAAATTTAACTGAAAAGTGATCCCTTTTAAATATAAGAGTGGGAATAAGAGAGGGAAGAGATGTATAATTTGGGACATGCTCAATAGGACTTGCCCGAAATGGTGGAGTTAGAAATGTGCCAGGGGATTCCAATACAATCCCATCAAGATTGCAGGTACCAATGCCATCTCACTAGTCCAAGTGATCAATTTCAATTCACAATTGATCACACTGATAGGTCTAAGAGTCAAAGGGATCACACAAACAAGACTAGTGTCTGCTAATACTAACTGATAGAATCAAAAAGGGAGAGAACGATCCAACACGGGAAGTGGGATACACAGCAGACTCGTAGAATGGTAGATGTCCTAAACAGCACTCTGGCCTCAAAATCAGCCCTTAAGGCACTCGGATCTGGCTGAAGAGCCCATAAGAGTATTTTAGGCATGGAAAGCCAAGACATTCTGGCAAAAAACAAACAAACAAACAAAAAAACCCTAAATGAAAGGTCTCTGTGAGTAAGATCCCAGTGGAAAGAATGGGCCATCGAAGAAGGAGGTACCTTTCTCTGAAGGGAGGAGACAACTTCCACTTTGACTATGACCTTGTCTAAACAAGATCGAAGTTGGCAAACTCAAAAGGCTTCCATAGCCTTGGAAACTCATGACTAGAGCCTAGGGAGATTTCTGACACCATAAACAAGAGTGTCAAATTGTTAAGTCAACAACAGGAGTCACTGTGTGCTCACTCCTTATGTGGGATCTCTGTCCTTAACGTGTTGTCCAATGTGAATTAATGCTATAACTAGTATCAAACAGTATTTTATACTTTATGTTTCTGTGTGGGTGCAAACTGTTGAAATCTTTACTTAATATATACTAAACTGATCTGTGTATAATGATAATTGAAAATGTATCTTGATGTCAATGGAATGGGAGAGGGAGCGGGAGATGGAAGGGTTGCGCATGGGAGAGAAGATACGGGGTGGGGGGAAGCCATTGTAAGCCATAAACTGTACTTTGGAAAATTATATTTACTAAATAAAAGTTTTTAAAAAAGTATGTATATATACCTACATATACTATTTCTATTAAATGGCAACTTGTTTGTATTGAGTATGCTCTTACTCACTAAAATAGTTGTTTTAAATTCTGCTATAACAATGTATATATCCTGTGATGTCTTGAAGTAGCTGTGAGATGCAGGGTTTGTCATGACTGATGTATGTATTCATAGTGCTTATATATATAGGTGAGTGTACATGTACATGTGGGAGACTGAGTGAGTATGTTTTTTAAGAAGGATTTTAGCCGGCACAGCGGCTCAATAGGCTAATCCTCTGCCTAGCGGCGCCAGCACACCGGGTTTTAGTCCTGGTTGGGGCGCCGGATTCTGTCCCAGTTGCCCCTCTTCCAGGCCAGCTCTCTGCCATGGCCCGGGAGTACAGTGGAGGATGGCCCAAGTGCTTGGGCCCTGCACCCCATGGGAGACCAGGAGAAGTACCTGGCTCCTGCCTTCGGATCAGCACGGTGCGCCGGCTGCAGTGCGCCGGCAGCAGCAGCCATTGGAGAGTGAACCAACAGAAAAAGGAAGACCTTTCTCTCTGTCTCTCTCTCTCACTGTCCACTCTGTCTGTCAAAAAAAAAAAAAAAAAAAGAAGGATTTTAAAATAAAAATTTCCTGCTAATGGGTGATTCTTCCTAATTTATTATTCCTTGGTTTCATATTTTTTAAGAATTTTATTTTATAGACTTCATAAATAGCTCGGTAAATTCCTGCAAAGTAGTAGCAATTTGTAAGCTAGATAAGTATTTTCACTGTGTATATACAACACAAATACAAATGTCTTACTGTATATTTATATAATTAATACATGAATCCTAAAGAAGATTTTGCCTTCCCCACAGATTTCTTCAAGGCATTTTTGACCTCTTTGTTCCTCAGACTGTAGACCAGTGGATTCAGCATGGGAATCACCATAGTATAGAACACAGATGCCATTTTGTCAGTGCCCATGGAGTGGCTGGAGCTGGGCTGTAGGTACATGAAGATGACCGTCCCGTAGAAGATGGAGACTGCAGTGAGGTGGGACGCACAAGTGGAAAAGGCCTTCTGACGTCCTTCAGAGGAGTGCATCCTCAGGATGGTGATAAATATAAATAGATAGGAGATCAAGATGACCAGGATAGAAAAGAGGGCATTGAAACCCACCACAAAAAATATAACCATCTCACTGATGTGGCTGTCTGAACATGAGAGAGCCAGGAGAGGAGGGGCATCACAGAAAAAGTGATCAATTACATGGGATTGACAGAAGGACAGCCTGAAAATGTTCCCCGTGTGGATGGAGGCATTCAGGAAACCACAGACATAGCAACCGATGGCCAGACAAGCACACACACTTGTTGTCATGGTGGTGGTGTAATGCAGGGGTTTGCACACTGCAGCATAGCAGTCATAGGCCATTGAGGCCAAGAGGAAACTTTCGACAGTGATGAAGCCTGCAAAGAAGAAGAACTGGGTGGCACAAGCATTGTAGGATATGACTTTGTCTCTTAGGAGGAGTCCTGCCATCACCTTGGGAGTGACAGCAGAAGAGTAACCGAAGTCCACCAAGGAGAGGTTACTGAGGAAAAAGTACATGGGCGTGTGGAGACGAGAGTCCAACAGAATTAACTGCATCATCCCTACATTCCCAACCACAGTGATTATGTAGATGAGTAAAAAGACTGTGAAGAGTGGGATCTGCAGTTCTGGGTCATCAGTTAACCCCGCGAGAAGGAAGTCAGTCACCCCTGTACTATTCTCCATGGGGAGTACACGACCCTGCAGCAATGAGAAAACGGAATCAGCATGCTACTCTGTATTTTATTTCAACATTGCAATATTTGTTTTCAAGGATTTATGACCTAAAACATACCACAGCAATAAAATCCTACCACAAAAAATATAATCTAAATTATACGTAGTGTCTCAGATAAAAAATTTGCAAAAATAATACATCTCCAATCTCCATTGTTGATAACTGAACTAAGGTTTGTGAAAAGTAAGGATTTATGAAAGATCATCATTTTATTTGCTAACTCAAAAAGGCGAAACTACTTGTTTAAATTAAGTTAAATATTTAATGCAGTCACACATTCAATTGAATAATTGTTATTGAATGGTTACAATGAATAAGACACTGCTGCATGTACTATAAAAAAGGAAAATAGCATTTTTTTTAAAAGGAAGATGATATAGAATGAAATGAATAGGGAAAACACAGAAATATTTTGAAAACCTGAGGGTGGGCTAGGTAAGGTTAGAAATGATAGGTTTTAATGGAAGGGGAGAGGGAGTGGGAAAGGGGAGGGTTGTGGGTGGGAGGGACGGTATGGGGGGGGGAGCCATTGTAATCCATGAGTCGTACTTTGGAAATTTATATTCATTAAATAAAAGATAAAAAAAAAATGATAGGTTTTAATTTGCAATATAGTGGTCTTGTTTTAGATCAAACAAGACTTTTAATCACATAAAATAGTGAATCACGGGAGTTTTAGGTTAGAAAAGTACATGTTGGTGTTTTAACGATTTATTATGGCATTTTACATTCTATAATGTTTCTTCTGAATAAGACTGGAAAGTATAATGGGATTTGGACATCTAGATGACATAATCTGACTGCTCTTTTCAAAGGATCACTTTGGCCGATTTGTTGATCTTGACAGGAAAAGACTGATTTTGACAAGAAAAGGATGAAAGGTGCTAAACAAATTAGGTTATTATAATATTTTAGATAAAAGATGCTGGCTTGCACCAATGTGGTAGTGAGATGGATAATGAGATTTTATTCAATTCTATGTATATTTCAAAAGTTGAGCTGACTGGATTTCTTGATGGATTGAATAAGGGCATGAGAAAAGAGAGGAGTCAGTCCGTGTGATATACATAGACAATAGTAAGTCCATAAGAATAAACAAGACCACAGAAAGGAAGAATGTAGATAGGCAATCAACAGAGTAGTGGAATATTATAAGATAAAAAGGTGAGGAAATCTATTGAATGAGTGAGGTAGGAAAGCAAATTGCCACTATTAGAGATCGTGCAATGCAGCTTCATCTCCAGGACATAAGCAAGTTTTAGCCAGGACAAGTGAGTAGACAAAGGAGACTTTCAAAGGAAAGATTACAGATATATTGTAATGTGTTGATGGCTGACTATGAGATGCAGAGCACACAGAGGGACAGTTTCAGGATTTGGGAAGAAGCTTGGATCAGCAAAGGGTATATACAGAGATATAAGGATACTTCAAAAAGTGCGTGGAAATCAAACTAAAACATGTTTATTATGGTACATCATGTTGTTCACATTCATGCATATTTTTTCATAATATGTATTTTCCATGAACTTTGTGAAGACTTCTTGAATTTGGGCTTTATACTATATGGGGTAGATGACAGATCACAGTTTTCAGCCTCATAGTGAACGTCATAGAGATAAATAGAATGATATTGAGATGAATTCTGTGGGTGTCAGTGTGAGGATGGAGACTGGGAAAGCAATTAGGCAGGGTCATGATAGAAGCAGGTGGAGTTCTTGATGGATCTCATTCCTGCTCTTAGGACCACTTCCCATTAATTGGAAAACTACTCACTTGAATCAATACCACAGATACAGATTTCCTCAAACTCCAGGAAAAATGTGATAAGAATAATTGCAAAATTTGTTTACCAACCTTCTTCTCCACATGTGAAATGGTAGTTTTTAATCCAATGTCTTCTTGGAGAAAAAAGAAAATTAAAACTTATTTTAGTTCATTGAAAAGAAATGAAAACTACAAATAAACTTTGAGACATTCTCTTATTCTTTGCCCCATAGATGGGAAACATATTATGATTGGATCACCATATAGTTGGTTCTCAGGATTACAAAAATTCAATCTCCCTGAAAAATAACATCTTCTAATACAAGTCTCATGCAGTGTTTCAAGACTAACACAAATTACGACTCTTCTCCAACTTCTTCCTCTTCAGATACCACCATGCCATTATAATCAATATGATTTGTCACTTTATTGCTCTAAAAACTTTTAAATTTCAACTTAGTTTATGAATCTGTATGTCATGATTGATAATCAACTAAGCTGTAATAGATAAAATGTATTAAGCTTTTTATATGTTCTTGTTACCAAGATAGAGTGTGTTTCTTTATCTCAGTTAATCCTCGCACATCACGTAAAATATTATTCCCAACCTGCAGATATGAGAATTGGAGTTTACTCACAATTAGATACATGCTGAAGGCTGAAAAAATAGCAGAGGTGAGAAGATCTGAAGTTGTTACTTTGAATCTAAGTCTTAGAAACTGATCGACTGACTTAGCAAGTGAGTAAATGTTATTAGAAGTCAATGTGGGGGCTGGCGCTGCGGCTCACTGGGCTAATCCTCTGCCTCCAGCGCTGGCACCCTGGGTTCTAGTCCTGGTCGGGGCGCCGGATTCTGTCCCGGTTGCTCCTCTTCCAGTCCAGCTCTCTGCTGTGGCCCAGGAAGGCAGTAGAGGATGGCCCTAGTGCTTTGGCCCTGCACCCGCATGGGAGACCAGGAAAAAGCACCTGGCTCCTGGCTTCGGATCGGCACAGTGCGCTGGCTGCAACACACCGACCCGACCATAGCCATTTGGTGGGGTGAACCAATGGAAAAGGAAGACCTTTCTCTCTGTCTCTCTCTCACTGTCTAACTCAGCCTGGCCAAAAAAAAAAAAAAAAAAAAAAAAAATGTGGATAATTGAAAAGCACGAATTTGGAAGTAAAATATACTTAACAGTTTTTGTGACTTTGAGCCAAATACATATCTTTCTGTACCTCAGTTAAATGACTGCAAATGGATCAGCAAGTGTTTATAATACCCTATCCGCTTCTAGGAAAAATCCTCAAATTGTTAAAAGGAACGCACCTCTTTATTAATACCAAGTGCCAGATTCTGTTCACTCCTTCATTCTCCCAGCAGACACTAAGTCTCTACTGTGCACCAAGTTTTGTGCTAACTTCCAGGTTTCCAGCAATGTTTAATACACATTTCTGGGCTGGTGATGTGGCACAGTGTGCTAAGCCACTGCCTGCAACCCCAGATCTCGTATCAGAGCACCAGTTCAAGTCTGGAGATCCAGTTCCCGACTAATGCCTAGGAAAGCAGCAGAAGATAATTCAAGTACTTGGACCCTTGCCACACACCTGGGAGATCCCAGTGGGGTTCCTGGCTCCTGGTTTCAGACTGATGCTGCCCTGGCCATCTTGGTCATTTGGGAAATGAATCAGTGGATGGAAGATTTCTCTTTCTGTCTTTCTCTTGCTCTCTCTCTTTTCCTCTCTCTGTGTAACTTCGCCTTCAAAATAAATAAAATAAGTAAATAAATATTTTTAAGGAAAAAGATGCATTTCTTGAACCCAGGGATGCTTTTTAAACCAGAACAACCTATTAACCAGTGAATAGTTTGTGTTTTTCTCCATTCTCAGGGAGAGTGTTGCTTTCTCATTTGCTAACAACTGTATGGTTAATGGTAATTCATCTTATTTATACTGCAGTATTTCAGTCACTCTGTGTAATAGTTAACAAACTGGGTTTCCACTGCCAGTTATGTCTTTTGTGGAAGAATAATCTGAAGTTGCCTTTAGAGCTCCCCAATCTCATAAATAGTCATGCCTTGTGCAATTTTATACTCCTCCATTTCAGCGCATCTTAAAATGTTTTCCTGAACATTGTTTATCTATTTTAATGTCCATTTCTTCTCTCTTAAAAATATTAGCATGAGCTTCTAGATTACAATAATATTTTATGTTGATATCTCATTTTATCTGCAAGCCTCCACTTAGTTAAGATGAATCCTTCCTGAAAGAGAGACTGGAGATTAAATAATTTAAATGACCAATTTAATTATACAAATTAACACTTAACAAAGCCAGGACTCAGGACCTTCTTGCAGTTTTTCTCTATGTCACGTGACATATTTACATCTTTGGGTAGAAACTACTTAGTGCTTAAACATATGCCTTCTGATCTCATGAAACATATATAAGAAAATATTCAAAAATTTCAAGTCTAATATAATGCAAGGGAGAAAGGGATGCCTTGATGAATTTTCTAGTTACTTTTGCCCCTGAATCTATGTAGACTGTTCACTTGATTGAGAGGCTCACCTTGATTCCCGAGCAACACAAAAGCAAGCCTAACATCCTCATACAGGATCACGTCTCAAATCAGAAATGCAGTCCAAGAAAAGAGAGCATCCCATTTGGAGATTCTCATGCAGTGCTTGGCTAAAAACTTGATAATTTTCCAGAGTCACAAAGAAATAGAATGAAAAAATGCTATTGGCCTTCGAAATTTGCTGAGTTCTCATCCTGGATCTGCTGCTCTTTCTTCTTAATCTCTTTGAACTTCAATATCTTCACCCATAAAAGAGAAACATCAGAGAGGCCACCCCAACAGCATCTTCCCTGAAGGACTGCTGCCATGATGAGAAAATAAGAGCATCTCTACGGTGCCTTAGACTTTGTGAGTAGTGATCATCATAATCAAAAGCAATGCCGTTTTACTCGTGTTTTCTCCCTTTGGTGTAGGCTGTTAGTAATACGTTGGTTAGGGAAGGAAGCTCTTGTCAGTGCTAGACAACTATACATAATCAGATAATAATGAATAATCGAAGGGGCTCTCAGTCTTGGGCTTCTCTATCTACTATGAGGCCGACTATAATCATGCAGAGAGTTAAAATGTGAAAAGTAGGAGCCAGGAGGGAGTTATACAGTCGTGGAATGCTCGTGGGACAAATACTCCCTG